GACCAAACAGGCAAAAACGGAGAGTAGTAGCGCAGGAACATAGTTCCAGCACTCAGGGACCAAGGCAGGAAGGCCATTGGGAGCCTGAGGCCTAGTATGTTCAAGACATGCCTGGTGGGCTTAAGACGAGCTTGGGATAGATGAGGCAGTGCACAGAATCAATAAAGCAAAGCTCGTAGGGGCTCACAGAGACTGAAGGCTGCCTGGTCTGCACCGGCTCCCCTGCATGTGTGCTATGGTTGTGCGACTCACAACAGAGGGAGTGGAAGTGTCTCTGACTCTGTCTTCCTCCTACTGGGTTGTCTTGTTCAGCCTTGATCTGAGGGTTTGTACCTAGTCTTATGGTATCTTGTCATGCGGTGTTTGGCTGATATCCCTGGGAGGCCTGCTCTTTTCTGAAAGGAAATGGAGGAGAAGTGGAGCTGGGGGTGGCGGGGACTGGAAGAAGTGGAAGGAGGAGGAACTTCAATCAGAATGTATTGAAAACAAAAAGAAAAGAAAAAACCCTGCATAAAAGACTCCTTAAAAGTCACACACAGTCACATAACCACACAGAGGGCACTGGGTGGCACACCTAAAGCTCCCTGGGTCCCTCCTGTTCTGCTGGGTTGGCCCTCAAGGAAACAGTAGGCTTAGGTTGGGAAGGGGGGGCCCCACTTGTCCTCTCAGCCAGACTGGTTCCGCCAGGGCCATGGACGGCACAACCTGTCTTGCTTGTGAAACCCATGTTGGGCAACTGGGCTTGAATGTGGATGCCTGAATTCCGGGGAGAGATGAGCTGGAACACCTGAGTCTGGTGTCCTGAGGGAGCAGAGGGGGTGGAGGGCCTGGGTGCCAGGCACATTCTCAGGAAAGGAGGAGAGGACTGGGAGCTGGACATCCAGGTTCTGGGCATGCAGGACCACAATCCCACTGGGTTTTGCTGTTGGAGGGAGAGCTCCAGTCATGGTAAATAAAATACAAGACGCACAATGCAGTCTGGATTGCCAATAAATAATTAGATTTGGTCTTGGTATAAGTATATTCCCACGTAACAATCTTGGAGCCTTCATTGTTTCTCTGAAGCTCCAAGTAGAGTCCGTGTGGTGGTGCACACACAGAATTCCAGCCCTCATCCTTGGGCAGGGAGATCCTAAGTTCAAGGACAGCCTAGGCTTCATTTTGAGATGCTATCTGAAAACACAACTGAACTTCTGGGAGCCAGTAAGATGGCTCAGCGGAGCCGGGCAGTGACGATGCACACCTTTAAACCCAGCACTTGGGAGGCAGAGGCAGGTGAATCTCTGTAAGTTTAAGGCCAGCTTGGTCTAACAGAATGAGCTCCAGGACACCCAGGCCTGTTACACAGAGAAATCCTGTCTTGTTGGGGGCGGGGAAGGCGAGAAAAAAGGATGGCTCTGCAGACAAAGGCGCTTGCTGCCGAAACCTAACAATCTAGGCTCAGTGGTTAAGAGCACTGACTGCTCGTTCATAGGACCCTGGTTCAATTCTCAGCACCCACATGGTGGCTCACAGCTGTCTGTAAATTTAGCTCCAAGAAAGAATCTAGTACCCTTTTCTGGCCTCCATGGGTAACAGACATGCTCGCGGTGCACAGACATACAGGCAAAATTTCTGTACACAGAAAGATAGATAGATAGATAGATAGATAGATAGATAGATAGATAGGAGGGAGGGAGGAAGGAAGGAAGGAAAGAAAGAAAGAAAGAAAGAGAGAGAAAGCTGGGTGTTGGCAGCACACACAGATGCACAGGCAGGAGGATCTCTGTGAGTTCAAAGCCATCCTGGCCTACAGAGTAATTTCCAGGACAGCCAGGGCTACACAGAGAAACCCTGTCTTGAAAAACAAAAACAAAAATTAAAAATGAAACCAAGCACTGTATATGTAACCAGTCCCCCACTTAAGTGGGGCAAGGTCAAGCACCTGCCAGTTGGGTCATGCGCACTTCCCAGCTCCCCAGACTTCATGTCTTCACGCGAATGGATATCCCCCACCCCTTTCCCACTTCAAGCCAACTCACAATTTCCCCAGCCCCAGTTTCCTCCTCTGCATGAGTGGCTGTATCTAATTGGCAGCCCCAAGGCTATGCCATTAAACGTAACAACTCGGGTTGTCACCTGGGGAGCCTGTGGTCCTCAGTTATAACTTGCAGTCACTTGCAGTTCATTCTCTGTAATATGGGAAGAGGCCATGAGGCTGCCTTAGAGGAGGGTGAGACAGGGGAAAGACCCGTGATAGGAGACACAGGCCCAGGATGAGGAGTCACGAACACAGGTTCTGAGGGGAGAGACACCAAGAAAGAGGACACAAACACACATGTCGAAACGGATCTGCAAAGCTGAGGAAAAGAAGGAAGGGATGTGATGGCTCAGGCTTGCAATCCGAGAACCCGGAAGGCTGAGGCAGGAGGATCACCATGAATTGAGGCTAGCCTAGCTACATACAGAGTAAAACCCTGCCTCAAAATAAAAAAATAATAGAAGGAAGGAAGGAAGGGAGCTAGCTGGGGATGTAGCTCAGTTAGCAGACAGCTAGCCTAGCATGGACAAGGCCCTTGGTTTGATCCCCGGCACTAGTTTGATTACCAGACTTGGTAATTTTGTTAGTGCAAGCCCATAATCTCAGTCCTCGGAGGTGAAGGCAAGATGTCCAGAGTCATCCTCAGGTACACAGTGAGTTGGAGGCCAGTCTGAGCTACATGCAAGCCTGTCTCAAAAAAAATTTAAAGAAAAGAAAAGAAAAAAAACAAAAAATGAAGGAAGAAAGGAAGGAGGGAGAAATAAAGGACAGACTTAATTTAGAGCTGGACAAATACACAGAAATGGGGAGACAGGCACTCAAAAATGAAGTGGGAAATGTCAGTCAAGTACATGGGCGCCACACCAAGAGACAGACAAGACGTTCACTGCCATGGATCTGGGGACAAAGCGAGCCAGCCATTTGGATGGTGCCAGGAGACAAAGGTTTGGGCCCTAGAGTGTTGGACAGGTGGAGAAAGCTGTGACCCATTGCTGTCACCTCATATCCATACACTGTGGCACGGTGACACACCTTCTCTAGAGGTGACACCCCAATCTTCTGGTGCCTCCTATATTTTAGGGGTGACACCCATGGTAGGAACTCCACCCAACTCTAATGCCGCTTCCCCACTGAGTCACCAAAAACCCTGTCAGGCCTGTTGGGGGAAAACTTTGATGAATCAAATATCCAATTCCCATCACCCCTGAAGCCCAGTACATCGGAAACTTGGATCCAGCTCTCTAGGAACACCCACTCTCAACAAGGGACACCGGGGTCTAGACCCTCCTTTACGTAAATTGATACACCCAGGCTCAGCCCTTGCCCCTCAAACCCACAGGTCCCAACCCCAACCCTCCTCCTCAGAACCAAGGGTCTAGACCCCAGCCCTCCTCCCTCAGACTCACATCCCAGACCACCCCTCAGGTTGTAACCAGGGCCAGTTACACCCTCACTTTTTCTTGTCAGTCGCCAGCCCCCTCCCCTCCCATTCCCAGTGGAGATGAGGTGCTTCTTTACTTTGGTCCCCATATGACTCCCTAAAACGCACTGCCCCCCCACCATGTTTCCAGGTCTTGAACAGGAAGAACAGTGTCCCTCGTTCCCCTTCAACATGACAAAATCACTAAGCAAGATGAGAAGGGATCACAAAGGAAAACCCATCATCCTCACTCCCCCCACTCTGAACAGCACACCAGGTCTCCCCTTGCCTCCCTCTCCCCTCACTCCTCCCACCCCCACCCCCACCTTATTGGTCCTGCTCTCAGCCCACAGGTCCCTCTGACCTCTCCAAAACCCTGCTCCATATTTTTCCTATTTCTCCCCAGATGATACACTCTGTCTCTCAATATCTTTCTCTCCTCATCCCCGTCTCTCAGTCTCCTCTCCCACCACCCATTTCCTGGTTCCTGTATCCCCCACTCTCTTCTCATCTCCATCTTCCCCTCTCTTTTGGAGCACTCTGCTCCTCAAATCTTCTCCACCCCTGACTCTCTATGTCACCCCTACTCTGGTTTCTACCTCTGCCCCCAGGACTTCAGTCCTGAGCGATGAGACAGGAGGGGAAGTGGGGTGTGGGGAATGGAAAATCCAGGCGGAAGGGAAGAGGGTCAGGCAGACCGGCTAGGCTCCCTAGGTATCTCTGTCAGAGCCCCGCCCAGGCTGTGTGGCCTGGCCCATATAAGTGGCTCCTGGCCTGACACCGAGAACTTGGTGTCTGCTGCACTTCTCCGTGTCACCTCCATTGCCACCTCCTCACGTGGGTCTGCAGGTAGGAGCACCTTCTCTCCCCAGAGCCTCTGCTCCAGGCAGGGCCCCTTGGCTGTTCTCCACCTACCTGGCTCTCAGCTCCGCTCCTTTCTCATCTCTGATTGTCAGTAACCAGGAACCTTGCTCTCTCCCAAAGCCCCATCTTCCCAGTCTCACTTGTCCAACCTGAGAGGTACTGAGTTGAATTTAGAAATTTGGGGGCCCAATACCCAATCTCCTAGTCTGTTTGGATTGGCCCATCCGAAACAGTACATTTCTCTTCATCTCTGAGCCTCTGGCCCTCTGTGAGATTGACTTGCAGAGGCAAAGTGCTTGGCGCTTGTGGGTGTCACTAGCAGTGTCTCTGTGGGCACCTGGCTCAGAGCTCTTCGTCTCTACCACACCTGTCCCTGTCCCTTGCTCTCTTTGTCTCTCTCCAACTCTGCCTCTGCTCCATAAAGAGTCCTCTGGGGTCTGTCGGGCAGCTGTTAAGATGGGCGAGTTGTTCGCCCCACCCTTTCCATCCTAGCCAACAGGCTAACACAGCCTCTTTCTCTTCAGCTCTCTTCCCCGTGAGAGTCCAGCTCCCCCAGTGCCCTAGTCCCTTGCCCTCCCTTGCCCAGTATCCAGCGTCCCTGGGACAGACCCCGTTGCCGTAGCTGTTGCTGTAGCCGTTGCTGTAGCCATCCCCTGCAGCCGTTCACACAGCAGCCACCTCCTCAGGGCCAGCGAGATGCAGTTTGAGATGCACGACAACGTGAAAGGCAAAGGTGGGATCACAGGATGGACCAACAACCTTTGGGGAGCTAGGAACCTGGCTGCCTCCCTCCCCTGGGCACCCTGGCTTCGAAGATAAATGGCACCTGCTTTTACCCCAGAGACCCCTGAAATGCTGGAGCCTAATCGTGGAGGAGGAGGAGGAGGAGGAGGAGGAGGTGGTGGCAAATCTAAGCAATGCCCAGCTGTGGTGCCCACTTTTCCTCCCAACCTTGGTTCAACCAGATGTATAGTTGGCAACAGCAACAGGGACAGACTAGGGGTGTTGATGACCAAATGGAAGGGGTATAGCGATGTTTCCTCAAGGGGGCGGCCAAGTGGCCTGCCCAGACTGCCCGGCAGAAGGAAGGGTGGCAAGGGTGCCATGGCCCAGAAGGGCCTGCCGGGATGCCTGTTGATCCTCTTTCCTACCTCCACAGCCATGTCCTATCCAGTGACCAGTCAGCCTCAGTGTGCCAATACTTGCTACCAGACACAGCTCAGCGATTGGCACACCGGCCTCACCGACTGCTGCAACGACATGCCCGTCTGTGAGTGTGCCCAGGGAAGGCGGGAAGGGGCGGAAGCTCACCCCAAACTCGTCCCAACCCTTTCTACACCTTTCACCTACCCCTTTGTCGTGCTCTGATGGGGCCCTTCTGCAATCTTCACTGCCTTGGATCTCACCATCCAGCCCTCAGCCTCCCTCTTCAGCCGCTGGTCCTCCCCACCGGACCCTGATTGCTTTGGGTCTTTGCCCCCTTCTTTACACCTGTCCTCCGGGAACCCTCATCCTTTCTTGCCATCGTGTGTGCCCTCCCTGAGAGCAAGCGCAGCAGGTCCCGACCCTGACTATTCCGCCCTGTCTAGGTCTGTGCGGCACTTTCGCTCCGCTGTGCCTCGCCTGCCGAATCTCTGACGACTTCGGGGAGTGCTGTTGTGCACCGTACCTGCCCGGAGGCTTGCACTCTCTGCGCACGGGCATGCGGGAGCGCTACCACATCCAGGTGCGAGCCAGTTCCGGACCACTGGGACTGAGGACTGGGGACCCGCCACCTGGGACCCCAAAGCAAGGTTTCTGACCCCTATCGATTTCTCTCTTTTCCACCCTCCAGGGCTCCGTCGGGCACGATTGGGCTACCCTCACCTTTTGCCTCCCCTGCGCCCTCTGTCAGATGGCGCGGGAACTGAAGATCCGCGAGTAAGAACGTCCTCTCCCCTCTCCCTAGTCCCTGGTCACGCCTGGCCTCTCAGGAGATGGGAGGGGGGCACTCCTTGGAAAGCCTGTCCCACTGCCCTTTGCCACCGCCAAAAAGTACACCCACAATAAAAACCGGAAAACCAGCCCCGCCTACATGCTTTTTATTGTCGCGGGGAAGGAATCTGGGTGCAGTGGGAGGTTGAGTGAGGTGGGATGCATGAAAGATGTCTAGGTGTATCAGAGAAGACGGGTTTGATGGGACAGGCCGCATAGATGACGCTGCTGAGGCTCCCTGTAGGCGTCTCACAGAGTGAAACCATTAGCCCTCAAGCTGCAGATGGCCTATCTGAACCTCTGCCCACATCCTGAACATAAGCAAAACAAGCAAGCTGGTCTTGGTGCCAAAGCCTGCTGTAATCACAGCAGGATGCTGAGGCCAGAAGTTTAAGAGGCATCTGGGCAGCCTGGGATGCAAGGTATGAGGCCATCCTGAACTACATACTGAGACCCTGCCTCAAATAAAAAAGCTTTTAAAGTGAAGGTAGAACTTAAACTCAAACCAGGCGGTGGTGGCGCAAGCCTTTAATCCCAGCACTGGGGAGGCAGAGGAAGGCAGATCTGAGTTCGAGGCCAGCCTGGTCTACAGAGCGAGTTCCAGGACAGGCTCCAAAGCTACAGAGAAAACCTGGCTTGAAAAACAAAAAACAAGAAAGACTTAAACTCTTCAAACAATGTTGTCCCCTGCTTAGGATCTATAGACTTTTTTAAAAAGATTTTTAGGCGAGGCAGCGGTAGCGCACACTTTGAGGTAGAAAGCAGGCAGATCACTGAGTTTGAGCCTAGCCTGGTCTACAGAGCTAGTTCCAGGACAGCCGGGACTACACAGAGAAACACTGCCTCAAAAAATAAATAAAAAGTTTAAAATTTTATGTGTATGTGTATGGGTTTTGCACCTGCACACATGCCAAGAGCCGGAGACGATGCTGAGTCCCCATAGCCTGTTCTCCCCTCAGCCTCCAGACAAGATGGGCCTTTGAGGAAACCCCTGTCAAGGGTAGCCCATCATACTGAAGTTCATCACCACCTCCTTAACTCACTGACTTTGTATGATGACATTTACTGCAAAACAACTAATTGAACATGTGCGGGGGAGGGGTGTCCAGTTTTGACCTTGCCACTTCTCTATTAGTGAGTTTGTAAACCTTTCTGAGCCCATTTTCTCCTCTGAGGTTAGCAGTTCCTAATTTGAAAAACAAAAAAACAAAACCTATTCTGGAAGCTGGAGGGATGACTCAGTGGTTAAGAGCACTGGCTGCTGTTAGGGAGGAGTTGAGTTTGGTTCACAGCACCTACAGGACAGCTCACAACTGCCTGTAACTCTTCTTCCAGGGGATCTGACGCCCTCTTCTGGCCTACTCGGGCACCTGAACTCACATGCACATATACAAACACACAAATAAGTCTTTTTTAAAAAGCCAGGTTTATGTTCACATCTTAAAGGGTAGGAGCCACCATCAACTTATAAAGGCAAAACTCGTGGAGCCAGTGATGCCTGAAATCCCATGTTGTCACACGGGAAACTTCAGTCTCTCTCAAGTCCAGCCTGCCACGTCCTTGTCTGCACTTAAGCAAGTGACTGGTGTTGGGGCGAGCATACAGGGAAGGTGTACTGCAAAGCACTTGCGGCAGAAGATCCATGCTGAGAGCGGAGATCTCAGGTCCACACCTGCCCTTACATCGAGGCTTTGGCACAGCCTGGGGCCGAGGGCTAAGATGGTTAAACATGATGCTTTTCAGCCTCGGTATTGAGTGTGTTTCAGAGAGTGCCCATGTGTGCCCAGTTACCACATTGCTAAATGTGTTTCAGAGTGCCCATGTGTGCCCAGTTACCACACTGCCGAGTGCCCTCCCAGCTCTACCAGTTGTCCATCTCAGCTCCTCAGATGAAACAGAATGGTTTGTGTGTTCTGTACCCCAGCTTTTCTGTCTAATGCCAATGCCGGGACACAGGCTGTCTGTTTCTCCCTGAGTCAAACTCTGGCAGGGACAAAGAAAGGGTCAGAGACGTCCCTGCCCATTGTCTCCTCGCCTCTCTTCTGGGGAGCAAGAGATCCCGTTGTGGTACACTTCCAATGCCAAAGCCAGTCTCAGGACACATGACTCTGAGGTGGAACCAGGACAAGGACACCTGCGCCACTCACCCGGAGCTCAGCCCTCCCTCCCGTGCACACAAGAGGCACCCAAGACACCTGCGTCTTCCCCACACTATTTGCTGCTCCAGCTGCTCTCCTGTGGATGCCATGTGGTCCCTGCCCTCTGACACGCACACAGCAGCAGGGCCTCTCAGACTGGGGTAACCCACCCCAGGACCAAAACAGCATGTGGAAGTCCAAGTCTTGGGAAAGCAAGAGTCCCAAGCTCAGGGAGCTGCCTAGGACGGGGAAGGGAGTCCTCAAGGGTTAGAAGAGCATCTCCATCCAAAAAGGAAGTCCGGGTGGGGTGGCCCCCAGGATCCCCCACCCCCCACTGTCACCCCACACTTGCTAGAGCAGGTTGTTAGGCATCTGGGGCAAAGGACTTTCCTCTGAGGCTCCCTTGAAACAAGCCTGAATTCGCAGCTTCAGATGGTGACCCTGGTCTCAGTCACCACCAGGGAAGGCACAGCAGCTCACGGTTCCAATTCCAACACACAAGACACTGTCCTGTGTCTTCTCAGTAGCTGCCGGCTTTTGCCAGCACCACAACTCACGACCCTGGATCCCTCCTGTAGAAACACTCAAAGGGCTTTCTGGGAGAGTCCCCAGTCAGACCTGACTCAAGCCCAAACCGGACTCTGCTGTTTTTCCCACAAGCCCCAGCCTGCCCCTTCTTAGTAGTGGCCTCACTCCACCCTGGCCATACCCAGGCCATGAAGTGGCCATCTGGATGTGTCCCCTTCCTCACCCTAACATCTGCACACTGTCACATCCTGTCATTCCTCCTGCAGTTGATCCTGACTCACCCTCCTCCTGCGACTGCTACCCACCTGCAGCCTCTCCAGTCCCCTCCAGCCCCCTCTTCTTGAACAGGCATGACTCCTCGTTCCCCACCACAGAACTGCCCAACAGCTTCCCAAGACTACAACCCCAGGTCTTGCCTGTCCCCAGCCTCATCTTACACCTGATCTGGGTTGCAGTGGCCAGGTTTCTGGTTCTTCTAACAAACTGGTTCCAGGCTCGGGGCCTTCAGAAGCCTTGTAGCTTCCTTAACTCTGAATCATTTCCCTCAGTCTGCCACCTTTCCCAGCCTAGTTTCTCCAAACACCTAATTTTTATCCACAATCCCTTAGTGTTAGACCTTGCTAATGTCAAGACGCCTCTCCGAACCAGTGTATGTGTGTGCGTGTGTATGTGTGTGCACGTGTGTGTCTCCTTTCAAGACCCCAAGTCCCATCAATCCAGGGACGTTCCTCTCGCCTCTGGCTTTGCTCTGTGCCTACAACTGAACCAGGCACAGAGTAGCAGCTCAATAAATAGTTGCTAAATGCAGAACAAAGGGGGAACCTGGGGAAAGGGAGCCAGTGGTGTCTGAGGGCTGTCCAAAGTCAGCAGGTGACTTATGAGGACTCTTGACCAGTCAGAGGGACATGCTAGTGAGATTGTCCTGGCTCAACAGTCCCTTTCGGCCACCACCACCCCCATGCCCACTGCCTCCAGCACCCCCGCTGCCCCCACAGTACTCATGCAGCCTATGCCGCAGCGTGACAAGGGCTGACCCAAGACAGGCCCCATTGGGAGCATGAGGCCCCCCGGGCAGCTGAAGCAGCAGAGTGGCCACACCAGCCATGCCATCTTCTGTGGGTTCAAGGGTGATGGGTCCAGCTCGTAGGCCAGCTGCGGTGGCAGGGAGGCCTGGTGGGCAGCACCCCCCTCCCATGGGTCCCCAGGGCCCCCCAGCTCCTGTCAGCAATAGAGGTGCTAGGAAAGGCTCAGAGCGGCGGAAGGCAGGAGGTGGGAGCCCAGCCGGCTTCCAAGGAGGGGCTGGGCCAGTAGGCTCTGGAGGGAAGCAGACAGTGACCTTGGCAAAGGGGCGGCTGGCCATCTTGGTCATCTCCTGCAGGTGCCGGCGCTGCTCTTGTCGCTGGTCCAGGGCCTGCTTGGCCTTCCAGAGGAGAACACAGAGTGAGAGGAAAAGGAAGAAGCAAGAGAAGAAGACAGAGAAGAAGACGAACAAGTCAATGTGGGCCTGGTCTTGCCGGAAGAAGAGCAGGCCCTGTGAGTCCGCCGAGCCATTGGCACCAGGCCCACTGGGATCTCCCACGCCCAGCAGCAGCAGGTAGAAGCGGCTTGATTTGAGGGCATGGTGCTCGTGGGGATAGGTGATCACCAGCCTGTCCCGCACACTGCGGACCACCAGCACTGCCGACGGCTCTGTCACTGTCACATAGGTAATCAGGCCCCGGGGCCACACCTCCCGGACTCGTGGCTCCACTGGAGTGCCTGGACCACTTCCAGTCCCTAGTCCTCCTAGGTCCCCGGCCACCCGGGGTCCACCATCAGCGGGAGGAGGGGGAGGTGGGGGAGGTGGAGGCGGCTGGATATGCACAGTGTGGACACCCGTATCAGGGGCCACTCGGACCACAAAGGTGTCGTAGGAGGTGGAGACGTACAGGTCCACAGCACCGAAGGTCACATCTAGTGTCAGGCGAATGTCCACGTTGGTGAACTTGGGCTGCACGCCAAAAAGCACAGTGCGTCCAGGACCCAGGGCCCGGCGTTTGGGCTCGTGGAAGCAGTTGGTCTGGGAAGTAGGGTCCAGGCAGCACTCCTGTTCCACTGAGATGAGCCGGTAACACTGCTGGCCCCCTAGAGGGCTCCCGTGGAATGACTCCCGGCACTTGGCACACTGTGGACAGGAAGGAGTAGAGGGGGCCACCAGGGCTGAGCTCCGGTGAGACCCTCAATTCCAAACAGCCACTGCACTGCGCTCCCCCGCAGCACCCTAGCTGCACCCCAGCCGAGCTCAGGCTCTGATGCTCAGCCCTGAGGATGTCTGTGGGACCCTGGCTGTACATCCTCACAAGCTGCATGGCCCTCTGCCAGGGACCTGAGCTCACTGAACACA